ATCTCCATAACACCTGAAGTTTTGGAACAAAACTGGCAAAGTAGCAGAGCAAAATAAACGGTATCCTGCCATTAATGCTGTGGTATATCCTAACTGCCGGCAGACTACTGTTGCATCATTGATATCCCAGCTGGAGAGGTAAATCAAACCCCACTTTCCTCCATAATACACCTCGACTCGTCCCATATTTGGGGAAGGAGATCCCCGTAGCCTAACCAGCATTCCTGATGTAAAAGAATGAATTCAAATTCAAATGATATCGACGGTGAGGTACAGTCACTTTTATCTAAAGGTGACGCCGTTGATTCCGCTGTCGTATCAGGTTTTTATTTCTCCTACAGAAAGCGAAGAGGTGTCTTTCGTTCCTTTGTGGGAGAAAGACCCTTATTGAGAGAAGCCGGTTCTACTAAAATAATTCAAGCGGGACAGTAACCAACTCCTTTTAGGTATTTTATCATCCAACTATACCGAGATGTCCCCTACAATTGTAAAATCAAGCTGAACTGTAAGTCTCTAAGTCGATTGTGATTTTACGGTAACATTTTCAGAAATGAGGAGGTTACGCGTAAATTTCAACCGTATAGGAGGGTCGAACTTGAATTTACAATTCTAACTCTCGCCTTTGCATACCACTGGGGGTCACATAAGACTTAAAAGCTTTAAGGATTATGATTTCTGAGGCACTCGATAGAAACGCAATATATCATCTGTTTCATAAAATTATGGCATAAGCCAGTTCTGTGACTTTTGGTAAATAGTGCACAAGTATAACAATCCTCAGGCAAAAACCTATTTTATAAGCTATACAACAAAGTTTCCCGGACACCAAACTCACATTGAGCTCAGATACTGCTTGTGAATTCAACATATGCAATTTATGTGACTTCAATGTATGCAAATGCAATCTTTCGGCTCTTGAGTGATCAAGATGCCAATAAAAAACTATTGCGAGAAATAAAAGTGACTCTCTTTACAGGGCGACTTTCAGAGAACAAGATTTAATCATTAGGTTGACTTAAGTGGCTCGTTGACACCCAACTTAAAATCGTGTTGCGCATAAACCTATAGAACTGCATTTTCAGTACCGGTATATAGAGAGGCAAAGTAAAAGTTAAGAGGTACCGTGTCTGGTTTGTGATATTAAAACGCTAATCCTAAGTAAACATGGCTATCAAGTCTTCCACAAGTTGTATTCTCATGACTCGGCTTTTTGCCTTTTGTAGAAGAGTTTTACTTGGCAAAGTTGACGATTAGAGTTGGAGCAGTACGTAAACATTAACAGCACATAAACTTTACCATGCTCTTTAGGATAGCTGAAAAAAAACAAAAAAAAAAACAAAAAAAAACAAAGCTACAGACCGCTTACCATTCGCGTGGGACAGATTCTTGCATATGACACTAGCAACGTTTCGCCGATTTTGTGTTTCAGACTTGTTACCAATGGCATCATGAGAGCAGCTCATTAAGTTAGCTTCACTTCCAAAGCATTGAAGATTAGTTATCCACACAGGACCGCTGACCGGCCCATACACACCATTTGCCAAAGCCACTTCTGCACCAGCTTGGTAACCAAGCTGGCGACACACCACTGTTGCGTCGTTTATATCCCAGTTTGTTCCACTGATTGCTCCCCAAATTTCTGCGTACAGCACCTCTACTCGACCAGCATTAGGAATTGAAGATCCTTGAAGGCGAATTGAAATATCTAAAACGAATTGATAACGTATAATCATCAGTGTATCGCCAGAAAATAAAATAAACAAGGCTATCAGGTTTAAAGAGACTGTTGTGCTACGTTTGCTTACACGGAAATCAATTAATTGGTTACCACAAGAATTTTAGATGACAAACGCAAATAAACCGCCTTGATTTTTACAGTTGATTTGTGGTGTAGGGAAGAAGATACAAGCAATCAATTTTGTCAANAGGGGACTGGTTTGGAAAGAGAAGTGTATAGAAACCTAAAACTTATATATACAAGCAAAGCTACCAGTCTAAGTCAATCTACATCATTTTAAACAGATGTCGAAATATTATGTCAAAAAACTATCTTGTCCCAACTAACGTAAATTGTCTCTCTCGACCCGTGCCCGCTTTTGTCCATATTTTGACGTGGGTAATGTTTCCGCGCGGGGCTCTGACATAAAATTAGTGTCCGGTGACGATTCGTCACTTGAGCTACTCCATCTGATTGGCTTAGCCACTTTTCGGCAACTTTTGAGACTTTCGTCAACTTTTTAGAATTTTGGCAACTTTTAGAATTTTCGGCAACTTTGGGCTTTTTGAGGTTTTCTGAAGCCACTTTCTTCACGTTTTGAGCCACATTGGTCAGTTTTCGATAGACATTTATTCAATTTATTCTAAAATACAATAATTAGGGCCCCCACCATGGGTTGAGTTTTGTGATGCCTTATCACGAGGTCAGCGGTATCACGTTGCAAGTTTTCAAGATGGCGGACAATTACAGTGACTATTTGTTGATCAAGTGAAATGGAAAGAACCTCTGATATTATCACTGGACTTTCACAAATAAAGTTTTGATAAGAAGCAATGTGCGAAATTTTTATCTTTAACAACCAATAAGGTACGAAAAGCAGAAAAATCTTGGCAACTTTTCGGCAACTTTTTGGAAATTCAGCGACTTTTCGGCAACTTTTTGAAAAAAATAGTAACTTTTTGGCAATTTTTAGACACTTTTATCGGCAACTTTTTTGGGATTCATCGGCAACCTGTGGCTAGGCCTACCATCAGACCTCATGAAATCCTCGCATTCTCCACAAGCGCATTTCCTTCTTTCTATTCCTCGCACATCCTTGCCATTTTCAAGTTTTCACCGTGCAACGCCACGCAATTAACTGCTTTTTGCGCAGACACGGTTATGTGAGCAACACTTCCGGTCAGTTATTTTCACCTCCGGTTATTTTTGTCTTGGAGGAGGTTTGGGGGAGGGTCAGATCCTTTTGTTTAGGCATTTATGAAGGGTCATGCATTAATCCAATCTGGAAAGTGGGAGGGCCACGACTTTTTTGGCAAAAAAACTTCTAAAATACCCCGGCCCACCCCCGCCCCCAATAAAAAACGTACCTTCCCTTACAGTGGCCAATTTAACAATTTCAACTTAGTTGATATAACCAAGTTACCTTGTTATCCCCACCGACGCAGCACCACAGTTTCTTTAGAAACGTACCCCCTTTACTAATTGGAACATAGTTTGACGAATTTTGTAGTGACGCCTACCAGCAAACAAACTAGTGTCTGGGAGTTATTAGGGTCCGAATCCCTTCTAAGCTTGAAGTTTTTTTTAACTTCTCTTTCCGAAATTTCTTCATTTGCGGTTCATCTGTGAAAAATCTTTGTTACTGATCCACGAGTCAGTAGAAGATTACTTTAATTTGTGTTAATAGTCAGTAGGAAATATTTAAGATTGAATCCAGATATCCAATCTCCTGAAAAGATAGACTTAAACAGCTCGTTGTGCAAAGTATTTTCCTTGAATGCCGGCTTCATTTGAAACCTGCGATAACCCTACAAATTGACCTGAGTAAGATATCCACGACCAAACTCACAAACAAGGTCTTAATTCTCATGGCTATAGAATTTTTAATTCATTAAGTTTGCTCCACTTTCTTAAATTGTGCACTTTTTATCATTGAAAAAGCGTGTGCAAAAAATGACTGAAAGTGAGTATGGAATAAATTATGGACCCCTTGAAATTTTAAACAGAAGATTATCCTCCGGTACTTACCGCGTACATCAGTATTGACTTCAGGGGTCTTGCATATCACACCTGCCTCACTGTTTCGATTGATATAAGTCTTAAGCCAGTCATTGTACTGACATTGTTTTAAAGTCTTTTCATTTCCTATGCAACGTACGTTAGACATCAAGACTGGTCCAGATCCTTCCCCAAATGGTGAATATTTTAAAGCCGTGACGACACCTGGGAAACCAAGTTGTCTACATACCACTTCAGCCTCTGTTCTATCCCAAGACGAAGA